CTTATCACATTGCCATTTTTTCAGCCACTTTTTTTTTCTTTGACAATTATAGGCAGAAAACGAGTGCCGAGGAAAAAAAAAATTGTCATTAAATATGCAGCATAAAGAAGAATAAAAGGTAAACTAATTAGAGTTAAATTCTGAAAACCAATTTAGTTTTATTTATATAATTGAAAAAACGAGAGCAAAAACAAAACTTATATCAGTTAGTTTCAAATTTTTTCACTTTTTGCACATATTTTCTTAACAGTATTTTGTTGCAGTTAACTAACTGCTAGTACAGAAGAAATTGTGCAGACATTTGGCTGCCGATTAGTGTATAGTTGTTTTTTTAAATTTACGTAAAATACTGTTGGTCAAGAATGCCCTTTAAGCAAACATAAAGCTCATTCTGTACTAATAAAACCTTATTGATAACAAGAAAATAGCAGTATAGACCGGTATTAATTAAAACAAATTTCAGAATTGCTGTTCCACGCTGTGAAAATCTTCATATCAGTCTATCAGTTGCAAACAAACAAAAATAAATTTTTGAAATTACAGAACAAAGAGGAGTCGATAGAAGAAATACAAGAAGGATAAGAATAAGAATAAGAAGAGGAAGAAGATGAAGAAGAAGGAAGACAACAATAATGATAAGCATATTAAACACTATTAACCACAAAAATATAGGCAAAAAAAAAATAGGAGAACAATTTGGCTAAATAATTATTGGTTTGGTCGGACGTTGGATAGCAATTATAAACAAACCATCTGCTGTCTGCAATCCATTAACCTTTGGTACAGACTTCACCGTTGTAGAAGTACCCGGAACAGCACCCCTCAGAATCGTATTCCAATTCTGGTATACGCATATCCGCATCTTTCCAGTCAACATTTATTGAAACTGAATATGACGGACAACCAAATACAAAATACCTGAATCATATTCAAAACAGTTTATCAAAATTACTGAACAAATACAAACGGGAAAACTTTTTTTTATTCTTTTTTTGTCACTAAACAAGTATTCTTTTTGTTTTTTAAATATTATTTTCTGAATGTTCGGTAACTATCTAGGAAGAAAAACAAGTTGCTAAGTTTAGTGCGGTACAAATAACTTCTCGCAAAGATCTTTGGTACGAGATCTGATGCTTCGGGACAGATGCTGTTTCGCCGCACTTGCCAACACTTCACGACTTTGTTGACCCAAACTCATTCGTGGCACTATAATTTTTTTGTAAGTGAAAAAAAGTAAAGAGGGAGTTTTAGGTGTACCATAAGTTAAATATGCGTTTAAATTCCTAACTTTTACTTCTGATTTTTTTATAAAGCTCATAACTTTTTCTTCGTTTTTTGTTACCAACAGTGATTGGTGCCTCTTTTCGGTTTACGTATGATAATGTTTTTCGCTATACTGTCGCTTAAATGTCCGGAATAAAAGATGAAGTGTGGTTGGTTGAAATAATGATTACAAGTAGAAGAGAAAGCAGTAGAACGAACAGGTGCAGTAGACTATGCAATTTTGTATAAATACGTTTAAAACTGATTTTTCATTTGGCAAAAGGAAAAGTTAGACCTCTGATTGATGACATGTATTTAATGCTGCTTCCATCCAGAAAACTGAACTTTAGCTGATTCATCAGATCGCACGGTAGTACTATACGCCCACGACATTCAACTATATGTGGTACAAGAGGGCATCGTTCAAATCCGCACTTCTGTCGTTCGATGTTCGGACCACTACAAATACACTCGAATTACTCAAAAAAAGAACATGTTAGCCGTCAGTTGACGAGTGATAATTGCAAGCGATTAAAGAACATAATATGTGTATTTTTTTTCTGTTTTTTCTTTTTTTTTCTATATTTCATGCTGCGTTATATTTTTTTAAGGTTTATTTTACAAAAAAAAAGACGTTTTAAAACTAGCAAAAAAATTTTGATAGTCTAGAAGTATTATATATTATAATTTTATACATATATAAATACTAAAAACTGAGTAATCGATCTTAATTGGTTGTCAACAGTTAGAAGAACGACTGCTATACTGCGAAAACTTTGTGTTGGTGATAATCAAACTATCAAAAGTTTTTAAGAAACAGTTATTTGAGACTGCTAAAAGAAAAGAAAAACAAACGTGCATGAGTAAATTTTGTAATTGTTCCTTCTTCAAAACATCAACTAACTCTTCTTCTTCGTCAATTTTTAACAATTAAATTTGAAGTTTTAAATACAGCAAAAAAAATAGTTCAACTAATCTTTTTCATGTCTCTTGCGTCATATTTCATATCTACATGTTACCAACAGCGCGGCTTGTCTGTTACACTCAAACAAATCACTTCCAAAAAATTTTATTTGCAAAAAAAAAAAAAACTTTTTTTGCTTTTCTCGGTAATATTACTGAGCTTTATTGCATTTATTTTTGCTCATTCCGCTTTTTTTTGCCAAGATAAATCTACATGTTTGTCGATTTTTTAAAAACTGTAAAAACAGCTGTGAACGGGATAATTTAGGATACCTGCACTGCTGACTGATTCCGTAACAAGCCCGAACACGCATTCGGATACCGCAACCACCGCAAGATACAGAGCAAACACTCCAACCTCCCCATTCGCTCCAATACGAATCTGAATGGTTTACTTCGTTTTTCTCTAGTATATCAACAGTTCAAATTTTTAACAGAAAAGCAACAGTCTATCCATTTTTCGAATTGTTTTTGCTCGTCAAAATAAGTTTACCAATAAAAGACGACAAAAAAGCTGAGTATACGATTACCGGGGCCGGTTAATGTTGTGGGCGGTAATGTGGTCGACGTTTTTGAAAACAGTTTTGTATTCATATTCCCAAACGTTGGTGAACGATTCCAAGTTTTTTCTTCAGTCTTTTTAGTGACAGTCTGTAAAAAAGTAACACATTAAACAGATGCTGACAAAAAAAACTGTTTTAAAAAAAATAAAAAAAAAGCAGTTTATGGCGGTAATTGAGAGGAATTCTAGAGAAGACCAGTATTTAAATTGACTTATGATAAAAAACTGAGACGAAAAAAAAGAGAACAGCATCATTAGCAGGTTTGTAAATCAACTTATCTTCAGCAAAAAAAGTGTAGAACTGCATATCAGGACTCCTTATTTAACCTCAATTATTAGCCAAAATGTTACATTTTTTAGTGGTTTCTTGGTTGTCATGCTGGTAGCTGTTACAGCTTCTGTGCTCGCCGTGGTTTCATTATCCTGCTCTTTCTCTGATATCGTCACTGTTGTTCCCTCAGATGGGAACGTTACTGAAGACAAAGAAGTTGATGCAGTGGACGTTTGTACGGTTGTTTCTGGCTTTTGATGTTCGAAAATTGTTGTCGTTTGTTGCTCTTCTGTTGTGCTTGAAATGGTAGTCGATTCTGTCGATTCCACCTCTACTGTTGAAATAACAGTGCTTTCTACTGTGCTGGTTGGTGTCGTTGATGCTTCAGTTGAAATTGCTTCTGTTACTGGAACTACTGATGTAGCTGGTAATTTGTCGATTTTCGGCTCATCGGTGACTAAATATTCAAGGGAGAAATTTTACTACAGTGTTTCAATCAGGTAAGTTGTCTGCTTTTAATGGTTGGAATATAAAAAATTTATTTGTGTCACCTGCTCGATATCGTATTTTAAAGCCAGAAAAGCGATTATCGTTGTCTGGCATCGTTTCAAATATTAGAATAAATTCTTTGCCTTCACTGATAAAAACATCACCTTCGAGAGGACAACAAAAACGAGCACCTACAAAGGACGGTAAAAAATTTTTAAACTTATAGAGTAGCGTTTGTACTAAGGTGGAAGGGAGCTGGAAGAACTGGGAGAAGGTGGAAGAGTTGCTGACAAATTTAGCTGATGCTGTGTCAAATTCCAGAAGTTTGATGAAAGAAGAAAATGACGAAAGAGATTTTTGCAGTGTTATAGCAAAAAATTTTAGTAAACATCAATTGTCGTGCTGTAATTTTAATATATCTTCAAAAGTAACAGAGTTTTCCAAAGTATACTTCGCACAAAA